TTTTTGAACTTAGGGACTAAACTTGATATTTTCGGAAACCACAGGGACCATTTTTGAAGTTTTGTCTTTTAAAAATATATATTATAAATGATTAATGTGTTAAACTTTATTGCATATAGCATTAAAATAACAATCTAATTTATTTGAGAGGCTCAAAGAAACAGAAAGAGTTAAAAGCTTACATACATGATTTTCTTTAGATAGTAAAATTCCAGGCGTCCAGCTTGTTAAAACTTAAAACACCACCAGTACTGCATCAAATAACTTACAGATGAAACAATTTTACCAGTAAACACGTACAGAAATATATTATATCATTTTGTCAATAAACACATAAAAATGAATAAGAAAATAATTAATATGAAGTATGAAGAGGAGCTGGAATTCAAATTCCATTTTTTGAACATTCTAAAGGAGGATTAGCGTTTTGACCCGTGACAAAATACAAAAACTAAGCAAAAAAGTTGAGGTGATGATGATGATGACATATTAGGTAAAGAATATACCATAAATTCAGTTTTGTTTTAATAGAAAAGAAATGACAGCCGTTAATAAATAATTTAAAATAGAGAATTTATGAGTTTAAATCATTTTGGTTGTAGTGGTGCACGGATGATTTAGTGAAAAAGGGCAGAGCATGATAGAGACAGATGTTGGTACATAGGAGAATGACATTCAGCAATTTTCCTGCCTGCCTTTCAATTTTGTCCCTCCTTCCATTCCACCTTTAAGCCACCAAATTTCCTTAACAAAGTGCAGGGTTCAAATTTACAAATTTTACTGTAAAGTTGAGCTACTTCCCATCTAGGTCCCTGGACTTTTCAAAAATCGTCTCATAGGGGTCGCAAGGTGATGCTACATAAAAAATAGATGAATATGACTAATATCATGAAAAAAAGGCAAATATGACTAATACAACATCGATTATTCCTTAAAAATTCCAGTTCTTTACTCTGCTAAAAATGATACTTAAACACGTCATTCTTTACTCTGAATCCTTGATTGACATCATGCTTTTGTTGATTTTATACAAGTCAGTTTCAGTTGGTGGATTGTCAACCATTAATAAAAAGAAGATACCACACAAATGGCATAATTCACCAAGTGAAAGTTACAATTTTCCTCCGAAGTTAGCGATTTATGCCTTCAAAAATTGCATTATGAAACACAAAATTTTACCCAAAAAGAAAATGCAAAAACTTTTGAAACATTAATCTCAGTGTCCAATTGCTTCAGCACCAACATTCAGAAGTCACTCATGACGTTTAATTGTATCTCATTAACACTAACTTGGACAAGATTTGAGAGTTTAAAAGTTAGAAACAACAGCTTTGACTTTTGATGTCCTTAATATGATCATAAGTGAAGCAAAGTAAGTGTTCACATATCATTAAAAGTTAGTGTTCTAGAATACATATAAATAT